AAATTCCCACGTCAGCCTGTTCAGCAGTAACACACTTAGGCTAAGTCCATACAAGAAGGGTTTGCYAGCATAGCTATTTTAGCGCAGGGGCAAGTATGTCCTACTGATTTTCTTTTTTTGTTGTTTGTTTTGTTTTTCCTACAGGCAAACCCTCTGAGGAGATGCAGCTGCTGCGACCATAGGCGGCTCCCACAGCTTGGCTCAGCTGCCGGGGGATATTGTGTAGCTCCAGCAGCAATTCCTGCCATCTGCCGAGGCCGTGTCTGCACTTGGGGGCTCTGGCAATGCAGCTGTTACCACAGAGGCCTGGCTGAGAAAAGGAGGCTCCACAAGCAAGGAATGAGCTAACTTCTGTTGTGGTCTTCGTCCCCCAGACACTCAAGTGCTCCATCATATCTCACAGCCAGCCAAGTGCCTTGTCGTGGGAGAGGAGTATTAGTATCCTCATTTACAAAGGGATAGCTTAGCATCAAAAAAAGACACAACTGTGGTTGCACCAGACAATGTTTCATTGATCTCTTTTTAATTACAGGACTCTTTTTACTCCCACCCATTCCCCACTGGCACATTCACTGCTGACATGTCAATCCTTACCAAGAGAACTGCAGCAAGTTTCCCAGACTTGGAAACTAAGCTTTCAGCCTAACTGATTCTGATAGTTGAGAAATTAGATGTTTAGGATTTTTGTATTTCAGTATTTGGCTCTTTTTTGGATCAGCTGATTGCTCACTACCATTATCAATCCAGAAATAAAAAATTGAAAGACCACTACTGTCTCGGCAAAGTCTTATCAGCTTTTGATACCAAGTTAACCTAAATATCTTAATTAAGGAGTATTCCAGGTCCAGGTCCTATTTCCTGGAGATATTCTCAGCAGCAACACTACAATTCCAGCTGAGAATTATGATCTGGATGTCTTTGGTTGAAGTCACCAATTTTGTTTCAAGGAACATGTCTCAGGTACAGACCATCAAGGGTACTAGATACCTCGGTAATACCCTGTGTTAACAGCCCTTGTTGTTAAAGCTTTAAAATACTTATATCTTTGCATGTATTACCTTTAAAGGAGAAGAGTGGTCTTTGAATAGTTCAGTACTGTTTTATTAAAAATKAATTATTAAATCTCATCCTTGAAAGAAGTCTATATTGTAGACTATATATCTTAAGTTACTGAATGCAAAGAATTGCAGTGACATGCAGGAAGCAATAGTTATGTACTAGAAAATCAGAAGTTGTACAGAGGCATRGGCTAAACCTTTGACAAAAAGCAAGAAAATAAGCAGACTTTCCTGCTCCATGTGTATTCAAAAGACAAACAGGGACATCCTACAAAAGGGGAGAATAGAGGGAAAAAAATCCAACTTTTGTTTCAATATAAACTACTTAGAGATAGATTTCTTCAGTTTACTGAGATGTTCAGCCAGCTGAAATAAGAAATTTGACCTAGGGCACGTCCCTTGTTGTGGGGAACGAAGTCAATCACCACTTGAAAGTCATTCAGCTGCTGACTCATCTTCTCTCCCAAGCATGCACAGATATACCATGAGAAAATACTGGAGCAACTAACCACAAGAGATTCTAGGCTTTGCAGTTGTTCGCAAACCAACACTGCTCTGCAATTGTGGAACTGAAAATTTATAGGTTTCACTGAAAAGTGATCAAGTCTCTCATGCATTACAGCACTGCTAAACTGCATCCTCTTTGATCCAGTGCCTTATCCATACTACTGGGACTAACACTTTTTGAGAAAAGGACAACACAGCCCAAATAGCTCTGTATTTTCCAAGTATGAGAATCTATCAGCTCAGTTTCTTTCAGATATAGTTGTTCCCCTAGGACAGATGAGATATTTTCTTTCACTATTTAACAGTAGGGGGCATATTCAGTGTATGCCAGCAAAGCTTAATGAAACCAGTGAAGTAGCACTGATTTGCAGTAATTTTGAGTTCAGCCATGTGTTCTGATGCCAAAGATTCCGGATATTTTAAAGGCTGTTATTGCCTGTGTTTTGGTGAATGTGGAGGACTCAAACTCTGTTAAGTCTGAGGAGAGGGCCTGTACCTAAAAAAACAGTGACAGAGCACCCGTACAAATGCTAAAAGCTAATATTTTTCTTTCTCCTTTTTCCTGGCAGCATATTTTTTCTTGCTGTGTTCTAAATTTCCACTCTCTTCCTGTTGTGCAGGCTGTTCCCAACACATTGAAGTTAAAATGCAGCTAGTGTTTCGACACATCCTGTGAAGTGGCTTTGATCRAAATGGTTATTAGATGCAAATATGAGAAGGCCTTTGGGTACTGCATGTTGTATTAACAGAAATGTAACACTGGCAACTAGGATTGGTAGAGTGTAGCTAAGTAGTTTTCATTTAAATGTATGTGCTAAGAGCAATTTTTGCAAGTCAKCTAACAACCGAACAATTGAAATCTGTGGCTAGCATTACTGTGCTTAAGTTGTCTTTAATCCATTGAATAGGATCAGTGGAGAAGTTAACTGATTTGCCACTTCCATTTTGAGTAAAATAAAGCTGACTTTTAGAAAAGAGAACAGTAGAAGGAAGGAACACTAAGTATTTTTTGACATCTTCTAACATTATATTCTATRTAACTGCTGAGATTTGATAGACATGCCTGAAGTGCTCATTACATTACATTTTGAATGCCTTTTGCAAATTGGATTGGATCTAGAGAATTGAATTTTGTTTTGTTCCTCAATTCTGATCAAGTTGATTCTGATGAAAACGCTCTTCAACTGTTCAAATGGATTGGCTCAGTCTCTTATCCACAGAAATCAATTTCTTTTGTGCTGTTCTAAGGGAAATCAGGAAAAGGACTTCAATGTTCTATTTGTTTGCTCTATTTGGAGCAAGTCTAATCCATCAGAACCTTGCTAAAACTAGTGATCATTTACCTTCCAAACAGGTTTTATATCACATGCCTCATAAGAGCACGAATTGCCAGCTTGACAAATGAGGAAACTGAGGGTCAAAAAAAGTGATACCTCAAGTTTTCAAGAGCACCTACCGATTTCAAGTCTTCCTTTGGAAAGAGAGGCACTTGGACAATGTTTTGCAGGAATTGTGTATTACATCCGTACCATCTCCCAAGACAGCACTTAGGAGTGATTTGGGAAGTATAAATATTGCAGATATATGGCAAAAATCCAAAGAAAATAAGAAACTGACATGCCCTATAGAAAACTGTGAGATAGCTATTATTGGACAGATATATGAAAGACTACCAAAGGAGTTTTAATGTTAGACATAAAAACTTATTAACTAGACAAGTGGATTCTTATGTTTCATTAAAGCCAATATACACCTTTAAACACATTTGCTTAAAGCTACTGGGAAGAACAAACCAGTTAAAACATTTTGCCATCTCTATGAAAAAGTCAGAAGACTAAGAAGTCATGTTTTAAACTATCATAATTGGTATTACAGCTGTAAGACAGTTGTAGTGAATGGAGTGAAGGCAGACAAGATTTCAAGGACCTCTGGCAAGCCAAACGTATTAGTATCACTTAATAACTACAATGCCAAAATAAAACAAAGCAACTGAATCTTACTTCCACTGCTCAGTGATGAGGTTTGTGTACACTCCTCCCATGGGCGCACTACGGATGCAATTATGTCAGACCACATTTCTGAAAAAGATAAACAAAGTTGATTTTCTGTCTTCTCTATTCCTACAATTCCTCCCCTCTCCCCCATAATAAAGGTTAAGACACCTCTTTTTTACAGCCTAGGTGGTGTGTCGTTCACTGCTAACAGGATCTAGACCCGGGTGAGTCTTATATTAGAAGGAAACTATCACAGTAGCTGTCACATCYAGAGAGTCTAAATGTTTTGTGTGCACTTTTCAATTCCTTTTCTAATGAACCCACATATAGTGGATAGCAAAGCACATGCAAGTCAATATCTCCTAGTTAGGCTCTGCTTTCAAGGCAAAGGAATCTCTTACCACCCAACATTTCTGCCATCAGTTTAAGCTAGGGTAGATAATTTACTCCCAGTATCGAGGACTCTCTCTCAATATGCACACAGCAGATCCACTACATTAAATGCCTCTCTCTCTAGGAAAGCACTTTGTAACTCACACGTGCCTTATTACAAGCTAGTAAGCACTGAACAAATTGAAATGGAAGTTACCTTCTTGCTTTGAAGTTAGTTGCAGCAATACAGAAATGGAAAATACCAGCCAAATCCAACAGCTGTCTCTACAATTCTTGCATTGTACTCCATTATTTTGAACTTCCAGCATTATGAAATCCGAACATTTTCTGTTAGCACAGATGTCCTTCTATAAATGCTGAAATTATGTTCTGGTAATTTTACTGTTAAATCTTCTGCAATTAACTGATGTTTAACATTTGCATACACATTTTTACTTCAGCCATTTGCTAAGAAAATATTTATTAGGATTGAAAGTTTAACATAGTAAATCAAACACATAACATCCATTGGACTTCAAACAGATATAAAATATCTTACAAAACTTTTTTTTTTTTTTAAATGGAATTACACAGAGCAAATGCACAGGGTTTGTCTGTTTCTACACTGAATTAATCCCAAGCCAAATAAAAAAGAAAAAGGAAAAACCCAAGAAAGGCATGATAAACTGCATTTGTCATTGTTTCACTGCTAGGTAATAAGCCCTTTTTACAAATATTTATAGAATGTTAAAAAAAATCATTTAATGTACTCCATCTAACAAAACTATTGGATTAACAGCTGATTTTAACTGACTTTACATCATGAAATTCTATTAATAGAGGTACCTTAGTCACTTAGTTTAAAATATGGAGAATAGAGATAGAAAAAAATTAACTTTTTTAGTAGTCTTTAATATAAAATGCACTAAATCTTCCAAAATAAGAATATTATGACACACTAGTGCCAATTTATGCCAACAAAAGCTGATACCAGCTTCTTTCTAACTAAAATTCATTTCACAAAACTTTTATATATTACATGAATATTCAAGTAAACTATTTAAAAATATTTAAAAACACAAAAGGCGAATTATACAGTGTTTCAGAGAGACAACTAATTTGGGAATGCTGTCATTTCCAACTATATAAATTTATAGATATATATTTTTATTTATTTTTAAGACCATCATGATACTACCTGATATTGCAAGAAATCCTTGTCATTAATATTTGATATTTTTCAATGTATAACTTCAAAAAAAAAACCAAAAAGAAAGAAAGACAAGATAAGGATTTGATACATCACTGCGTACTTGTTCATCACTACTTCCGTGTATTGCGCGAYACGGAATCGCGCTACTGGCTTCCCTTTGTAAAGTGCTGAGCAGCAGCCAAATTCCGGCAGTTTTGGCTGGAGATGATGGTGCTCAGTGTCTTGCAAGAATCAGAGCTAGATTCTGCTATAATCAAACAATAATATARAAAAACAAGCTTGGCTGAGCAGTGCGTTTGCCAGTGTCAAATTTCTAATAAAACCCTGAATGACTAAAGATCAGTTTTCTTGAAAGTCTCATTCTTTACTATCTACCAGCTGTAAGGACAGTATGATATTTTAATAAGGATTCAAACACTGGCCACCATATCTCTGGCTGAAGGTGAGGTGCTCACTAGTTTTGGTCAAGTGGCTTTTGGGAAACTTTCAGAGCGAAATAACCCCGCAACAGGAAATGTGAATGAAAAATGTAGATCATGCACAGTTATATTACTGTAAGAGTTGAGCAAGACATGCAAGACAAAGAAAAAGTCAGAACATACCAAAGTAGCAATGGTTAATAAGTTAGTAAAGTTTTCACAGTGTTTCATACAGCCTTTTACTTTAACACAAGTGCATCACTTACCACCACTATTGCTCAGATATTTTAAACATCTCTTGGCCATGCAGATCAGTTTGAGAAGAAAACAGCAAATTACACTTCTTAGGCATTTTTAGACATTAAGTACAGCTTAGAATTTATTTTTATATTCAGTCTCATCAAAAAGGTGTTGTGAAGTTATCACCATTCTAAGTGTAGGGCTTCATTGCTTCCAAATTTGTTGGATCCTGAGAGGTAAATGCCCAAAGAATCGGCTATATAGGCAAAGCTAAGCTTTGCTCAGACAGCCAAATTCTTACATAAACAAAAGGAATAGGGAATTTCTTATTAGCACTCYTAACTTTCTGTCTTCCTTAACCTTTAGATGGTCCTAACTATAAGATGGTTGTATTTTATTCAGTTTTTCACTTATATTTTCACCTCCYGGAAACATTACTCTACCTGGGTGATTTATGAAGAATTAGAACTAGACTTGAGAACACCACTGACCATTGACTATTTTTTTCTCTTTTTTTCCTCTATCCTAAGAACAAAATACACATTTTTTTTTTCCCCACATGGCAAATTCCATTTGACGCCACATCACCACCACTCAACATTAACTCATGAAACAGAGACTTACTCCACTGGTCAGACACAGCAGGGGAAGAATGTCTAGAGGGTAAGTAGGAGGCTCTTTATCAGATATAATTGCTTGCTTAAAAGGAGAGAACCCAGCTTCCCCTTAGCTATTCTTTCATAAATTAATTATTTGTTAAAATCATAATCACAAGCATTGTAGCCATTACACAAAATTCAAGTTTTTTTTTTTTTTAAGAAAAAAAACAAGAATAAATTAGTTACAGCCTTGTAAACAATTGTTCATTTATGTAACATTGGAAAAAAAAAGTTCCTCTAGATAATAAATCAAGACAGTACAAGGCACACATCACACTTAAGAATCCAAAGTGATAAAACCAGCAGGTGCTTTTGTCTTTGTTCGCTGGTGTAATTGTGCTATAGACAATGTAGAAATACATATAATTTCGTTCATACAGTCATTTGAAAGTATTTCATGACTGTGCTTTTTCTGGTAGAATACCTGTGCTATTTTACAGTACAGTATGAATTGAAGCTCTTGGAATGAAACTTCTCAAATGTTTTCTACAAAGCTGCCGGGGAAAAGGCCAGTTTTTCCATTTCGTTGCAGCGTGCCTTTGAACCAGCCATCCTCACGTTTTTTGTGTACGAACACAATGTCACCTTCCTTAAGTTCAAGTTCTGCTTCACTCTGTGGAGGATAGGATACCACGACCCTGTATCTGCATTAAGAAAAACAACAAAAAAGGACAAAGTTCTTAATTGTTTTTTTCTAAAAATGCTTGTAAAAAGAAATAATAATCTCGTGCATGTTAAAATCTAGGAGAAAAAATATCTGTCTAGAGCTGTTTGCTGAGTTTATATCAACTGAAATTAAATACATCTCAAACAGAATAAAAAAATTAAGTCACATATATGTATTTTATATCATAGCTTTCAAATACATCTTTGAAAAAAAACCACATGTACTAAGAGGTTAAACAAGAGGAGAAAACTGTAAATATATTTTTGGATATAAACTTGCAGGCTCTTCCAAGCAGCATGACACAGCAGTAATCAAAGCATTCTTGAGAGTAACTGGACATAACTTTATGACTCTATATGCAATATGATGTTATGCCAGGGAGGGCCCCTGACGTAGTGCATAGAACAAAAACAGTTCCTAATAAAATTTGTTCACTTGCTTTGTTCATTTTTTTAAACATTTTTTTTAACATCTTTACAGATTTTAACATCTTTAAGGTGAGAGCTTTCCCAGGATAGAAAAAATGCCATCTTACTCAGCTCAGTTTATGTGCTGCTGTACTTCACACCTTAAAATCACATCTTTTCACTTTTGCATCTAATTTTATATTGCATTTTTACAAATTCTATTTGAGCAAACAGGGTGGATCAGATCCAGACTCAGATTCACACAGCTGTCCACTCGTATCACCCTCTATCAGCTACAGAAATAAACTATATATWTTTTTTTTTATTGCTTATAACATACTGCCAACATTACTCATTTCTTTCAGGGCAAAACAGCTTATGCTTCAGTGCAGAAGTTCATTGCCAGGTCCTTGAAAAAATTAATCACATTTTCTAAGCATGACTTACGTTTTGAAAAAAACATGTTTATTCCTACACATTCTGATCTTTTAAAGGACACGCTTGTTTCTCTCTTTAGTCAGTTTATGTAAATATTTTGATATTTGCAGGTCCTTTCTTGGTCACCTCAGCTATAAATATCCCTTTCATGCATTTATTATRCAGAATGCATTTCCTCCTTTACATTTGACTATCTTAAGGTACCTTTAATTAATTTTAAAGGAATCCTAGCTCTTTGTAGTTAGTCAGTGATAAAATATTTACATTATAAAGATATTCAAGCTTCCCAAAAGTATGCAATGCATCTCACACGAGTTCCTTCCCAGATTCCTAATGGGTCTGCTGCATCCCATAGTTCTCTTGTACTCTGCATTGGTGAAAAGATTTCTTTTAGTCTATCTTAACATTTCTCCATTCTGCTTTTCATTTTTAACACTTGCATTTCTGATAGTTTTCAAGGAGATCAGAAGAGTACATCCTCTTTTTTCTCCTTGCTTTCATTGCTTCTATTTCACTAGACAAAGATAGTGATTTTCTTCTCAGCTACGTGCAGCTGATTTTTAGACAACTTTATTTGTGTTTCTCCTGCATTGTTCTATGAACCACTTGTTTAACCACCAAATGGAAAAAAGTATCACACTCTCACATGTGAATGATAGACATGAAGAGCTGGAATTACGGTTATTGCATAATTTAAATTCATATTCATTATTCAACTTTTTCATTCAGAGGTTTTCTTTTAAACTCTTCTTTTTAACCATTCCTTGTCCGCTCACCTGCATCCTGCTGCTCTGCAGCTCTCCCATCTGCCGAGTAGGTGCCTTGACTCCTACAGAAAATCAGCCCCCCTCTAGGTTAGGCTCATGCTCGATGGCATTCAGTGCTGCCAGACCTGGCAAACAACTGCAACCTCCCCTGAAACCACTGGCCTGCTCACTGATGTCAYGCTGGTCATTCTGCGGTGCATGAAGTGACGTGGACGACTTTAATCACAGAACAAGATTACTGCTGTCCTTCACTCTAACTGGATGAAAGACTCTGCTTGTGTTATAATTTAGGATATGCAGTGATGTGTATTTAAGGTCAAYGTCAGGTCTTTATCACCACAGTGGAGCGCTGGGAAGCTTATTATTACCGTGCTGTATATTTAGTGGAAAACATAAAGGTTTTTAACCAAGGCTTCCCTTTATAAAGTGGGAAAAAAAGGAGGGGTATAAAAAAAAAAACAGAAAAAAAAAATAAAAGACTTAGGAAATTTGGGAAAGACTACTTGAAACTGTCTTCTACCTCTTGTTGCCTAAAACAACAAAAGCTCTCAGATGATCAAATTACTTTGTATTCATAGCATAACATGGCTCCTCTRGGAGCTGCAGGGAATTGAGGCTGTCTGTCCTTTTAATGAAAAGACAGTGATCCTTAGCCCTGTCAGCATGGTGTCAATGTGAGAGAACACAGCGCAGAGACGAGGCTCGGGTCTCGGCGGGGGAATGGGGAGAACGACCCAGCACCTAACACCAAGGCTCAGGGGAGCGAACGCACGGCAGGAGCCGTCAGGAATTCCTCAGTTCTGCTCCCAGCTGCCTTGCCTGAAACGGCTCTGTTTAACTCCTCTGTTCCTCCCATAAAAGAAAAATACAAAGGACTGTGGAGCAGTGTGAGTAACCCTCACGATTCATTAGGGAAGACTGAATATAGGAATGGTTTAGGAATGGTAACTTAATGGTTTGCTGCACTGARCATCTGCAATGCGGAGGGAGTGTCATCTTCTTCCCTTCCTTTAGAGGAATGGCTATGGGAATCCAAGTGCTTACTCACAAATTCATAGCACAAAGAGCTAGTGTGCTACCAAATGTGCCAAGTCCTCTTATTCTCCATGATTAGAAGCTAGCTCTATATTCTGTAGAACGTATAGGAAATATGCTTGCTATTCTACTGAAGGGAAAAAAACAGTGGAATTAAAGCAAGAATCTGTAATTTCACCTTAGAGAAACACAGGATTTGTGGAAAACTCAGTATCAAAAAAAAAAAGATCTTTACAGCACATTTTCAAGTGCTTCTCAGTATTGTGTCAGGCACTTTGCTCCCACATTTCTTACAGAACTTCCACAGAACATTATTCCTAAATCCTCCAGTAACCCCTGAAAATTGAACCACGCTAATAATCAAAGCTCCAAAGCCACAGTCTCTGTAGAAAGAATACTGATTCTTTTTTCAAACAGACTGTAGCCTGTGATTGAAACTATGATATGAAGGAACAGAAAAATCTCAGCTGGAGATTTTTGTTTTACCTTTTTGTTGAGTTTATCTTCAGGAATATTCTCCTCCACACTCCCCGCTTTTCACTGCACATACTACCGCATCATCAGTATGGCTCTTATCCAAATTAAGGACAAAGTGGAAAAGAAAACCTGCATACTGTCTGGCTCTTGCTGTGTGGATGCAGCTGAAGGTCAATGGTATTCTAATATTATGACATACCCATATATGATGAACTAACATTTATTAAAATGATTAAAGCCTAAGATAGTTAGCATGAATCTGCTCATTTCCACAACTGTTACACTGCAACTGCACTATTGTTTTGTGTGCCACAAACTCCTCTATCTACCGGAAAAGAAATCCTATGAGATTCTTCAGATTGCYTGCCTACTACAAGAGGACTCAGAAAATTGCCACTTTCTCCTCAGTTCATGCAACCTACCAAGGACCTCAAAACTTGCGAACAGCATGGGGACAAGGAAAAGTGACAGAACTTTAAAGCAACTCTCTGGTTTCTTTAAAGACAGCAAAGGGCTTTTTGGGTTCACTTTCCAGAAAGCAGAGCAGATGAACGGGTATGGCATTCAGGTAGTGAAATTATGTTTGCAACAGCTGAAGAAATCACATGTAAAGCCTACTTACAGATAAAGATCTTATTCACTGTACACTTATGTCTGCAGTTTTGCACTSATAATAAGCTTAAAGAACTAACAAGATTAACCATATATGCAAAATTATAATGTGCTAATGAATTGCAAAATAGGAGACTTATTTTATATATCTCAGTTATCATATCAGACCTATGATCACAGTATTCCTTCCAAAACCTCAAAGTAACATGAAAAGTAAACAAACACAAACCTTAGTTGATTGATACACACATAAAGCATCATAAAAAATAAAAGTCCCATTTTTTTYCTCTATGATGTCAGTATTTTGAAAGACTTCTAGCAGTCTTCATATACACTGTGCATGTCAGAAATGCATTTTTTATTGTTGTTGTTTGCCTCGGRTGATTTACCTTTCACAGACAACAGGCCTGGATTCATTCAGGACTGGACCCAGGGATGAGCACGGCTGCCGAGGAGGAGGCGCTATCGGAATACTGGAATCCAGGGAACTGGTTTTCCGATGCAGYGTCTCCTGTGCCAGTGCAGAGACTTCACTCTCATTGGGACAGGGCCCAGCTTTGCTGTGCCCTCCTGCTGAAGGAAGCTCCGGCCCCACTGCACCTTGCAGGGCCAGCTCTGCTGCTGCTTGCTCAGACTCCAGGGTTGGTGAAGCTGGAGGGGACAACCGGGGCTTGCGCTTAGTGGACGCCCCCGAAAGCAGTTTCAGCAAACCCTTCTTTTCTTTCTGTGAAACAAAGAGAATGTCTCATTTTAGAAYAAAGGTATTTAGTGAAAAGTTGAACCTTTCCTTCTTTAGATGGCATTTGGATCAGAGAAGACTCAGTGAAAAGACTCAGTGAATTAGGAAAAGAACTCTACAGGTAACTAAAAAGTCTAAGTATTAAATTCCTTAAAAGAAAAACAGTAATTTCTTTGGATCACAAATTTCCTAAGGCCTTTCACTTCATTTCTGAAAGGTAAGTTAAGGTTTATCACAAAGGCCAAAAGCACTGGCCTAAAACACAGTCTAGAAGCAGCAGCAAGGAGTTATATTCCCACAAAGTGAATCCAGGAGGTAAATTGTTAGCTAACATGGAAATTTCTAGGAAAGAATAAAGRCTCTATCAAACCAAACTGGGAGAAAAGTCTGCCCTAGAGGCTGCTTTCTAGATAAGTGTCTTCTATTTATCTTCCCTCTGTAAGGGAAAACCTTCACAATTTAGCAGAAATTTGCCACAAGGGGAATGTATTGTGTTTTGCTGCTCTGCTAGAGGGGAGAATTGTAAGCATTCTTTTTGCTTGTCCAGACAGGGATCCCTGAAGACTATTACTTTTCCTGAAGAGAATTATTTAAGTAGCTTTTGTGTTTCTTGTCTTTTTTTAAGGGGTGTGGCAGTGATCTTCTTACCAACCCTTTGACTAAGTGAGTTTAGTGCTTAAGAGAGGTGCCAGATTATAAGCCCTGAAGACAAAAATAAACTAACCACAGAAACAGAAAAGCATGAGCAATATGAGATTTTTATTATAGCATAGGATGCAGTGGAATTGGTGAACTATGAATGAAAAAAATGCTCTGTCCTTCTCCTAAGTCTCCATTATTTTAA